CTTGATAAAGATTAAAGCATAGTAATTTTGTCATGGGCATTAATTAAGTGTAACCAAGGGCCGATTTCTAGTGGTCACAGGACATTCTAAGAACTGTTTTCTATGCCAGTTGCCACTGTGCATTTTACTGAATTAGTGAAGAACACATAAAACCTATTGTTTTCCACAACATATTTAATTTTCCTTTGCAGTTCAGTTGCAGAACTTCTGTTATGCTTGTGCAGCTGAATTCATGTTTGTTGAAACTAATATTTCATTTTCTTTGGGCACTTGTAGCTATTCATGTCTCGAAAGTGGCCTTGGAACTATAAATGATTTTGGTTCTAGGGCTTATTTTTGTATGGATAATATATTCATTTTTATAGAACTTTAAGGTTTGAGAACATGACTCACGACCCTGTGAGTTATATAGTACACGTATTCATTCCTATTTCCATTTTACAGGTGAGGAAACTGAGACCCAGAATCACAGGTCTGATAAGGTCCAGAGCTAGGACTCAACACCAGTTCTTGCTCTAAGTCTAGTATGTTTTCCGCTACTCCATGCTATTTTGTTCCTTAGCATGTTTTTGCTGATTCTACCATTTGGAATTTATTGACTAACAGTTATCCCAGCATTCTTGAGAATAATAAATACTTGACATTTCTAAAATAAAATGTTTACAACAACAACTCTCTTAGGTAGTATACAATATTTATTCCTATTTTATAGGTGAGGAAATGTAGGTTCAGAGAAGTTGTCACCTAATAAATTATAGTTTTATTGGCAAAGCATTGAGTTTCAGGGATACTACGAAGGACAAGGGGACAACCACATTTTTAAGGAACTCTCCACTTTTGAACAGCTGAAATAAGAGAATTTGGAGCTAGGATGGAACTTGGAGGTTATATATCTGTTCCAGGCCCCTCATTTTAAAGATGAGGAAACTGAAGTCCAGAGAGTTGGAGTGAAAATAAACTCAGAACCACAATAGGAACTCAAGTTAGAAGATTGCAAGTGCAGTGCTCTCTTCATTACACCAGAAGAGCACATTTTACAGAGCAATTGGGCAGTAAAAATTAATGTACTATAAACTGAGTTCAAGAAGTCATCAGAATGGTTTGGGTTTAGAGGAGAGTTTCCAGTAGAATTTTGAAGGAGGTAGGGGATTCAGACAGTTCACTTAGAGGAGGGGAAAGGTCAGGGCATAGTTGAAGATTACTGAAAGTAGGAGTAACAAGTCTTGTAAGCTACTGCAAGAGTTAGTCTGACTGAAGTGGAAGATTCTTCTTAACGGTTGTAATGAAAGATGAGTTTAGAGACCTTGGATATGAGTAAAGTTTCTAAGTTTTTATGGTGCACCTTGTTTTCATTTCAGTTCTGTTAGCACAGCACTTTGCACAAAGTTGGCACTTATTAAAAAGTTATTGAATGATAGATTTGGCTGGACTGCTCCCTCCTTGCTATGTAGATTTCCCATTTAGGATCCCTTCCTCTATGTGCTCCTTATCTTGTTTTGCTCTCTTACTTTTTTTTTTGCCTAGGCAATGGGGTTAAGTGACTTGCCCAGGGTCACACAGCTAGTGTGTGTTATGTGTCTGAGGCCGGATTTGAACTCAGGTCCTCCTGACTCCAAAACTGGAGCTCTATTCACTGCACCACCTAGCTGCCCCTCCTTTTACCTTTTATACCTCCCTTTGTATACCTTCTTAATCTTCCTTACTGTGACTGAAGGAGAGGAGAAGAAGAATGTAAACACTTAGATGCCATGTGTTTTGGTTACTTTTTCTGTTCAGAATTAAGTACTGGCTTCCTTAGAAGTCAAGCTCATAGTCATATGTTTATTAGATTTTTATTGCCTTTCCTGATCCCTGTTAATTCTAGTGCACTCCCCCTGTTGATTATTTCCAATTTATCCTGTGTCTAGCTTGTACGTAATTTTTTGCACGTTGATTAAGAGCAGACTCTTTTCCCTTTACTTGTATCCCAAAGCATATAATGCAGTGCCTGGCACATAGTTGGTGCTTATTATGTTTATTGACTGACTTAACAGACTGGCTATTGTGATTCTGGTCTAGTCACTTAAGTTCTCATTGCCCTGGGCACCTTTCTTAAGACTGAGCTGAAGTTCTGTGTTTGTAGAGGGAGTTTCCTCATTGGAAGTTCCCCAATGGAATAAAAGATCACAACCTCTCCTCTGCCCCAACCCAAAAAACTTGTTTGTAAGCATGCAGTAACCTTTCGATAGTGATTCCTTTATCAGTGGAATATGGGTATGCTGATTACATAAAAATCTAAATTAAACTTTTTAAAAAGCTAAGTTGGAATGGTTATTTCTTTTATAAAGATTCACTAGAGCACTGTTTCTCAAGTTGTGCTGCAGGGAAACCTAAAACACACCTCAAGTCTGCTTAAAAAAATGAACCATGCTATTTGTTAATAGGCGTAAAAATAATTTTAGAGGATTTTGCCACAAGGGTTCTGCTAAAGATTTGTTTAAGCTGAAGGGTTCTACCACTGTGAAAAGTTTAAGAGCTGCTGCACTAGAGGATGCTTGGAAAAATAGTAAGCCTCTCCTTAGAATGCCTAAAATATGAGAAATACATCTCTTGTGAAAATTTGTCTAAAACAATACTTTCCTAGTTGGTCATTTCTTTTTTCTTTCCCCTGAAAGTTTGGGCCAGAAGTATCCTTTGATTATCTTGTTCATTCTTTCAAGCTTTTTGAAAAGCTTGGATATTCTGAGGAAATTAATTTCAATGTTTTTCATTTTAAGTTCAACCAAAAATTTTGATTAGCAAAAATTTAATTTTAATTCTAGTTTAGACTTGACTTTTTATATTACTGTCGTGTAGTTAGACTTCACTGAAAGAATACTACATTAAGTGCTGGAGGAAATGCAAAGTCAGTATAATAAGGTAAGTTGATTGTTGATCAGGAATTCCCCTGATCCACCCCCATAACTATAATGTAAAATGGTACCTGGTTAGTTTAGAATAAAGACTCTGGTGATAGTGGATAGGACTGTAATTACAGAATCTGAGTTTGAAGGGACTTTGGAGGTCATGTAGCCCAAACTCTGTCTTATTAGGGATGTCATAAAGGAGATTTCTATCAAGTAGGAATCCTATGTATTTTCTTTCAAGATTTCCAGTAACTCAGAACACAGTATTTATGGAGGAAACTCATTCCACTTTTAGTTATTAGGAAGTTTAGCTTTTGAGCCTGAATCAAGTTTCTTTACAACTTCTATACATTGATCTTTTTTGTCATTCCTCACCCCATCCTTAATGGTATCAAGAGGAACATTTTATGAAGCCTGAGTCTCTTTATTATGGTCTATAGTCTTATCAAGTGGGAGCGAATATAGTTGATTTTTAAAAGATCTTGTTTCTGATCTAGGGGATGGAAAAGCATTGATAAAGCCTTGTTTGCAAATATTTCTGGGTCTCTGAATTGGCATTTGCCCTCTCTCAATAGACACCTAGAAATCCTCAGGGAGTAGCAGGCTTCTTGTTAATGAACCAGGTTTCATTTAGAACGTTTTCTGTCTGGAATGGCACAGTGAATAGGGGATGAGTGTAATCCAGCTATTTCAAGTTCTTAGAGCAGACTTGAGTCTTCAACATTTGTTTTGTGCCCGTGTACTCTTATAGTGCTACATTCTCTCCCTTTTTCATTCTGGACCTGGGAAGGACACAAGACTTTAATTCAACCCCTAATTTTATAGATGAGGAAGTGGAAATCTGGAAAGGTGGTATAAATGCTCTGAGATGCCTCCTTTTTCAGGGGCTTACATCAGAAGGCTATTGAACCTGTGTTTTTCTCAAAGATTTAAGCTTCTCCAGAAAAAAAATTGTCATAAATAACAAATACAAGAGGAAGAGAGATGAGATATTAAAATATGAAATTTCCTTTGGGTTTATTTGGATCCACAAATGGATTTATTTATATTTGAGTCATCTTGATTTTTGTTAAGGCCTGCCCTTGTGTACACATTTATTGATACTACTGGATTTGAGATTTAATTCAAGCAAAACCAAAATTTTTAAAAGAAGTTTGGTGAGGGAAAAAGAAACTGGAGCTTATGCATTTACCTCCCTCCCTGCCCCTGTATAGAGGTCTTAATTTTGGAATTTAATTCTTTTTTGTTTGTATGTTTATTTAGAGATAGAACTCAAATTTTAATTTTCTTCACATATTTGCTGACCTTAAGGCCTTGTGTAAAGTCTGTCTCTTGGGTACTTACCTTCTTGAATGGTTCAGATCCATGAGCCTTTTTCATTCTTTCACAGAATTATTATAAATACCTGAATTATAATCTTAAAGTTAAGTTATTTTCACATTTTGCTTGAGCTGAGAGGGAAGCCTATTTGAAGTTAGTGTATAATTTTTGTTCTAGGAGACTACCAACTATTAATATTAGATTAATTTAAATTAATTGAATTAAATAATATATTAAATGTTAATATAAATATTAAAACCCAGACCATTTCCTTTAGTTAATCTAGAGATTATATATGCATTTTAGGATGCTGCTTGTGTTTTAGATCATTGTTATGTTGTGAGTACAATTGATAAGAACTTTAAAACATCCATTTTATTCTACATGTAGCTTTTTTATGTAGATATTTTTTAAAAATTGTCCTTGCTATCCACGCTTTACAAAGTGTTGGTTTCATTTTAAGTACATAAAATTAGTTTGTTTTCTGTAGTATGTGTTAGAGGTATGATAAAAACAAGGAAATACTTCAAAGATTTACTTAAGAGAACCACAATATACATTTTAGTTAAACATTACTGCTAAATGAAAACATATTTTTTGTACAATAACTAAGGTTAGTTCTAATTATAGAAAATATAAGGACATCCATAAGAGTTGTAAACCTTTTACCTTGTAACAAAGGGAAACATGAAATCATCACATTTTCTTATTTCTAAGCTGTATTTCATGTTGTGGGTTCAAGTTTAAAATCATACAAATGAATACTTGAGTGATGATGAGTGATTAAGTTGATGGCTAGTAATATGGAAGATTCCATATTCTCTGTGAGAATGTAGGGAACATATTTTTTGTATTTTTATCAATGTAACTTGAAATAGTGGGAATTTCTTCTTTATCTGAATTCTTGGTACTTTCACCTAGAACTCCAAAGTGGACAGAGCGGTTTGTATTCTCTGTGTCTTCTCGTTCCTCTTGTTGACTTTGTTTTTCTGCATTGGTTAGAAAATCTCTCAGCACTTGCTTGAAGATGTAGACTATTTCCCATGGCAAAACATCATTTTCTGCTAAAACTTCTCGAAATCTAGAAGAAAAACTAGTAATGAATATCTAGTTTTGAAATACTTTCAGTATTTGTAGTTCCATTTTAAAAAAAATCCACAAAGCCCTGGTCAAAGAGATTTTTGTATATTTTAGGATTAAATTTTTTTCTAAGGAAGGATTAAAATCCATTAAAGTTTTGTTAGTTTTCACTTATGTTTTGTTGACATAAACTGACTTTACCCTGAAGGGTTTTCTGTATAGAAAGAACATAAGTTCATTCTTCTTTTATCATTCTTATGTGGCCTTTGAAACCTTATGCAAAAATTTTAGTGGAAGATTTCTGAAATTAAAGTAGTTATTGCTAGGAAAGTAGTGACCATTATCTAAGTGATTGAAAAAATTAATGTAAAACCATTGTCACCTGTAGGATTATGATTTTAAATGAATCATTTCTAAGCTCAAAATCAGTATTAAATAATATAGGACCAATGATAGTGTAGAAATTGTGCAAAAGGTAATATTTGTTATACAAAAAAGAATAAATCATATTTTCTTTTGGGCTATGCAGAGTCATAAAAACATACTTTATCTAGAGGGACTATTATGTATTATGGTTGCTATCTTGTTTGATGACTACAGCTAAAGAAGTTACATAATTGCTTAAAATTTCCAGTCTAAGTAAATAAGGAGTTTAAGACTAATGCCTGTAAACGTCTTAAAAAAGGAATCCTGTATTTATACCTGCTGAGAATAGTTCCAGTCTGGCAAGGTTGAACTTGTGAGCAGAGAGCTTCAAGCTGTCTTTGTTCAGTAGCTGGGATGGTTGCTTGGGGATTTTGGTAGTTTTTTAGCCAGTTGTAATCCACACCAGTTTTTTTCACTTTTTGTTCATTTTCAATCTCTTGTATTAATCTCTCACGTTCTTTTAGGTGCCATGTGAGTTCTCGAAGTAGAGTCTTTGTTACTGTATCTGAACCTGGATGGTGTGTGGATTTATGGGATTCTCTTTTTGACCACTTCATCCAGCTAAAAAGTGGCATTTTATAATCTGGAAAAATCACACACATTTATTAATTGCACAATAGACTCTAGAATCATTCTAGGGCAGACTTAGAAAGCGTTTGATAAATTTGCAGTAGATTTGTCATAGAGTAATATTTCATTGTACAAGTTCAAAATAAAATTGGAAAAAATAAATTATGAAATCTTCTAATACACAGGCAGGTTTTGGCCAACAGGCAAGAGAGCTTAAAAACTTGATAAACTTATATTTTGTTCTCATAAATATGTTGTTAGTACAGCTAAACATTTTTCCCACTAGAATTATTCCAGTTTAACAACTTCTAAAATAATTGGTAATATTTACTACCATGAGTACTAGTAAATAAGATTCAGTGTTTAGGAGAGGATTACCTAAGAATAGGTTTTTTTTGATCTATGTTGTATAAAGAAAAAAATGAAAACATACCTGTTAAGTTGTTACCGTCCAGTGTGTGGTGGTTGTGGTTGAAAGGAGTTTTGCTTGAAGTAGAGATTTTATTCAGTTATATCCTGTTCTCTTGGATGTGTCCACTGTTGAGAGAAGCAGCCTGTCTTATTTAATTAGCCTTTTAAACTGAGTTCGTGATAAATTACTTTCCCTGTTGGGAATGTGCTTTTGATTTCTTTGTTGATGAGGCTGCTGCTTATTTCATCTTGTTTGATTAAAAAATATAACTGACTTTATTCTCCATGAAGTCCATTAAGATCTCCTACCTTCTGAATGTAGTTTTGCCTGTGGAAGCAATCTGAAACAAGTAGGTACAGATACAGATGTTTGCTTCAAATGCTTGCAAATATATTGTTGGTAGTGAGATGAATAACAGTAGTCTGAAGCAACTACAGATGTGCTCCTAGCTAAAGTTAAGACTGTCGCATGATGTGATGCTTTGCTGTGCATAGCTGTAGGTCACAGTTTAATGCTGTATTTTTATGCCTGTAGAGCTCTAAAAATAACCATGTTGCTTTTATTCTGTAGCTAAACTTTCAGGCCATTTGGAAGCCAGGTCACTATCTTCTTTAATTGAAGATGGAGAAGTAAGTTTGACTTCATTATTAAAACTTGAAAATTAAATGATAACATCCCCTTGCCAGTGAAATACTGTGAAAACTCATTTTTATTGAGCAGATCTAGTCAAAGAATCCTGAGCAGGCAGCCATTCGTGTGATTTTTAGCAACTTGTGTTCATTTTTTCTAAATACTAATTATTTTTTGTTTATATATTTAAACTATTATAAATGTTCATTAACATTTCAAATATTTTAAATTGTAAACTTTGAAATATAGAGTATATGCTTTAAATTCTTTTAAAAGTTAAGATGATTCTAGTAGGCCATTGTAATACTTAAGGGTCAGAATATTAGAACTTAAAATGCATTGATAAATCATGTCAGAATAAACTATTAAGACTTAGCATATTAAACTTTGTCACAGTATATTTTCTCCTTTCTTTTGAGAATTAAAGGTAAAATACTAGATTTTTCTTTTACATTTGTTCTATTTGCTATTTGCTATAGGGAAATATATTGTAAGTTGTAAAGGTCACTTTGTGATATTGCTTTGTGGATAAGGTCTTTTCTTTGGAAAGCATTTTTTCTTTATTACTTTTTTCCTCTGCATGTTTAATTGAACTATGGAACAGCAGCCTTTGTTTAAAGCAGATCTAGATGTCATGCAACATAAAGAATGATGTGTGTGGCCATTACTATAGCTGATATTACTTGTACTTTGGGAAAATTCAGATGTCAGGATTCATTATATTCAGCTGGGAGGCTTTCACATTGCATTGTACATGGTACTATGAAAAATGAAAGGAGTTGGGTTTATAATGACAGAAATGTCCTACCAAATTTTCTGATAAAATTTAAATGATTCTTGCCACCTCTCTCTTTAAACTATCTTGTTGCTGCTGTTTTTTCCTGAAAGCATGTGACTTATATTATATCAGAAGTATAATAGAATAGAATATTCCTAAAGTGAGTGGATTGTAGGGAGATATATATGTGTATATCTCCATATGTATATAGAAATGCATGCATGCACCTATGTTTATATGTGACACGTGCATGCACGCGTGACACAGGGAATGCACACACGTGTGTGTACATGTGTTTATGTCCATATGAATATACACACGTGTTTATATATGTGTGTGAGTCCAGACTCCTTAGCCTTAAGGCTCTTCTCAAATTGAAACATTGCTGGTTGGGATGGAAGTACCAGAGGATGAAATAAATTGGATAATGAGCGTATTAAAAGAATTGAAGGAAGTCTGTAATTCAATAAAAGAAGATACTGTAGTTAGGTATGTATATATATTTGTATATATCTCTTTGAGAAGAGATGAAAGAACAATTAGGAAATATAAACTAATACTGTACCTGAGAACAAAAAACAGTGGGAATAGCAACCAAGAAAACAGAATGAAGAGCATTAAATGGATAAAAATAAAATTAAAGTACAATCTTAGAATGTAATAGGTCTTAAAAAGCAACCAACAAATATTCATGAGATGTCATGCATCTGTTTGTTTCCAGATTTGGAAAACAGAAGGAAGCACAAATCTTAGTGTAATTGGACTTCTAGATTAAAACACTGAAAAAGAAGAAAAGTTAAATATTGTATTTTGAGTAACTAATTGTAGAGAACTTCCAGAACAGTCAAAAATGGACAGTAACACACAAGTAGAAACTGTATAGTCCAGTATGGAGAAATTCTAACTATACCTTTCCAAGGCAAATGGTTATTAAATTTCAGAATTTGAGAGAGCTAGGGGGGAAAAAAAACCTAAGAATTGAGAAGGTGGGAGGATGGTGGTTACCTTCAATAGAAATAGGGAGACTTGGAAGGAAGAGTAAGTGTAATTTGGAGGAGGATGGGCAGGAAGGAAAACATAATCAGTTTTGTTTGGACATGTTGAGTTTCTGATGCCTACAGGACACCTAGGTGGAGATATTTACCAGGCAGTTGATGATACAGTATTTTTTTTTTTTTGTGAGGCAGTTGGGGTTAAGTGACTTGCCCCAGTCACACAGCTAGTGAGTGTTATGTGTCTGAGGCTGTATGATGATGTAGTATTAAAGTTGGGGAGAAATTAGGAATGGTTCTATAGATTTGGAACACTCAATGTAGAGAGATGTGATTAATGAGAACAGTAAGGAGTTGAATGTAGAGGGGAAAACTAAAAAGAGGGCTTTGCTTTCTTCACTGTCATGGGGATGCCCTTTTTTGTAGGGTAGGAAATGCTGATCTAACCGAAGAACAGAGAAGGAAAGCGAGACTAGTAGGAGGAAGAAGAGGACAGAACAATGTCACAGGAACAAAGGGAGGAGACAATATTTTCTCACCTCTGCCTTGCTTCTTTCAAGGCTAAGCTCAGGTGGTATCTCTGACATGAAACCTGTCCTGAGCTCTCTCTCTTGTCTCTTGAAGTGTCAGTGCTCTCTCCCCCTTCTGAAATTTGTATGTTCTTTTGTGTTTACTTACCTGTTTTTGTGTTGTATCTACCTACAATGTAAGGTGTTTGAGAGCAAAAACCATTTAGTTTTGTCTTTGTACACAGTGACTATCGCAGTGCTACGTATGTAGTTAGTACTTAGTAAATGTTTATTGAATTGAATATTCCGGAGAAAGGGATGGTCAATGATGTACAAAGTTGTGGAGAAGTTGAGAAGTGTGAAGACTGAGAAAAGTTCAAAGGATTTAGTGTTTAGATCAGAAGTCTGCCTTGTTGCATTTTTAAATACAATAAAATTAATTAAAAATTCTCAAGGGATGTACAAAAACAAGCACAGTTGGGCCTGTAGTTTGCTGACTTCTGGTTTAGATTATCTGTAATCTTTGAGATTGAGGTTTCACTCAAGTGATGGGGTCAGAAGCCAGATAGCAAAGGGCTGACAAGTAATGGAGGAAGCTTGAGACAGCAGTTGGGCAGAGAAAGGGAAGAGTCACATAGGATGCTAACTTGAGAGCATGGTAAATCAAGGTTTGAGAATGTGTGATGCCTGTGCAATTGACAATGGGAAAGAAATGAGTAGATACAGAGATTGAAGACAAGGGAGGGGATGGGCTGAGGGTACTAGGAATGAGGTAAACTTAGTAAAGAGAAGTTAATAAATACATTCAACTGAGAGTCAGCATGGTGGACAAAGAACTGGTCTGGGAAACAAGAAGACCTATGTCTTCAGGTCCTACCTATGTCTTGCACATACTGGTTGTGTGATCCTGGGCAAGCCACTTAACCCTTTAGTGCTCTGGTAACTTTTTAAAACTATGCATTGTCTCTATGTTTAAAAAACAAGCAAATGAAGAAATAAAACCTCTATGTACTACAAAGAAAATGAGAAGGCACTTAAATGCTTACTGACTGATTGACTAATGGGCCTACATCAGTAGGAGTTTCTTCACTTGGGGGCTCCCTGTAGTTTGTCCTGTGAACTGTTTTCTTTTTGCTCTGTATTATCTCAAGTGGTGATCTTATCAGCTCCCATGGGTTCATTTATCATCTCTAGGAAAATGATTTTCATATCTGTAATATCTAGCCCTAGTCTCTCTCCCAAGCCACGGTCCCTATGTCACCGATTGTCTTTTTTTAACATCTCAAGCTGGTTGTCTCATAGGCATCTCAAAATAACAGTATCCAGAAAAGAGATCATTATCTTTCTCCCCAAATTCCTCCTGCTTTTCTGAAGTTTCCTATTACTGTTGAGGGCTCTACCATTTTCCCAGGTAATCAGGGTTGCAATTTTGGTGTCATTCTCAACTCTTCACTTTCACTCAATCCCACATACCTTATCAGTTGACAAATCTTGTGGTTTCTATCTTCACATCTCTCCTATAAATCTTCTTAGGGCAACTCGGTGGTGCAGTGGATAGAACTGTGAGCATGGAATCAGGAAGGCCAGAGTTCAGACCTGGTCTCTGTCCCTTAGTAGCTGTGTGACCCTGGACAAGCACTTCTGTTTGCCTCAGTTTCCTCAGCTTTAAAATGTTAAAAATAAC